CTTTATTCATATATATTTTTCCTTACTTTAAACCACAAAATTCTTTGCCTCCAACCAGTGAACAAATACCTAACCCAAAAGATGTTTAATAGACAAGCTTCTTCTCTATTACTAATATATATGTTAGTATAATAAAAAATATAAATTATATAATTCACATAATTAATTAAACACCAATTATTCCTATTATATATGGTGTTTGATAGACAACATAATGACCTTATCTACTCGTGGACCTCATTTTTTCCCACTTTTTTTTAGTCTATGATGTTGCATTTCCTTTAAATTTTATATCAAATTAAAAGTCTACCATTATGTCTAAATAATGTTGAAGATTTATTAATAAATCCACTTAAAGGTCTTTCGACATGACGAGTATATTTTAAAAATATTTAGGTACCTATCTTATTGTAAAAACAGTATATCATTACTTTTAAATTGTTCAATATTTTTGATTTGCTGGTCAAAATTTAATTAAATGGTCCCTCGTAATTATCAAACATGACATATAACCATTACGTTTGAACTGATACTTTTTGACTATTATCAAGTTTTAGACCATGATTTGTTGGATATATCTATTTTTTAAAATGTTTTTTAATTTATTTTGATAAAGTATATAGTTTTATTTTTCAGTGGGGGAGAGTGGAGAGTGGGTAAGGGAGCTTTTCTTTATGAAAAATAATTAAAACGTTAAGTTGTTGAGCTAATTGAAGTACAATATTACATATCATATTTCACGTCATTCTACTATTATTTGGCAAAACACTCACCAATTTTTTTTTAAAACTATAAAGAGAATCACAAATAGAACACGCAACAAAAAAAGTGAGTCCGGAATCTAAATAAGCCCCAAAAAGATAAAAGTGATCAAAATAATTCACGATTCTAGTAAGTAACTAAAATAGGCTTAGTGGAAGAAAAAATTCTGCTTTATGCAATATTCCAAACGTGATCCGTTAGTCTCATAACGTTTATATTTTAATATACTATTTTTTACACTTTGTGAAGTGTAAGTTTTTCTTACACTTTGTAAAGTGAAAGTTTTTCTTACACTCTATAAAGTGGAAGAAAATCTTACATTTCAAGAAAAGTTACTTTCGCGAAATTCAGAATGATGGGTCACTTTTATATATATATATATATCAAATTTTACATTTTAAAAGTTGAAATCCCGGATCATGCTTTTTGAAGAATTTGAAATTAAATTTCAAATCATAATTCCAAATTGCATATTCAATCATTAATTATAAATCATGACTTCATATAGTATGTCCAAACACAAGCTAGACACTATCAAATCTATGTTTGTACTGATAAAATAGTGTGGTGTAGATTGTTGCTCGCGAGCTAGTGGAACCCAAATGATGTTGTTTGACAGAATATTATTCTATATACACTGTGTCCAAATGGATTTGCATGTACCTAGGATATATAACAAATCTCGCTCATCTCCCTCCTATCTCTCTTGCCACTCTCTTATGTATCTGGTATTCCAGACACATGTGAATCGCCTCAGATACATACAGATACATGTATCAAGTATGTATTTAGTATGATTCACACGTATCTAATATACATGACTATCTCGCTTGCTTCACTCCCTATTTTAGTGTATTTAGTAGCAAAAATACATGTATCTTTTTCAATATATGGTAGAAAACTCTTAATTAGTGGTAATATATGTAATATTTTAAAAGTATAGATAATAATAATAATTTATATAATATAGTGAAATATGTCTAATAATGTACTATCAAGAGAGGTCATTCTCAAAGCCCAAATGCTAGTAATTGGGCCGTCCTTACTTTACTCCCATATGCGGAACGGGCAAACTAGGAACTATCATTCTTCGTAGCACAAAACTTAGGAGTTTTATCTTTTAAAATGCGCTATCGAATAATGAATTTAACGCGCTGACAAATAACGAATCCATGGCAGCTTCGAGCATTGGGTATCAAATTCATATTTATAGACACGTGATTTTTGACCAAACATGTAATTCTATCCAACAGAAAAACATGAACCTGCACGCAACAAACCCATACTAACAAAAAGAAAATCAGCATTCTATACAAACACACGCACGCATAAGAGCCAAAAAAAAGCGCAGAGAGATCGAGAATTAAGTCAACATTAGGTTTATTTTCGCGATTTCGAGTTTGTGGTCATTTTTTTCAGTGAAGTAATATTCACAAAAGGTAATACTTAATTTTTATTGTTTTATTTTATCTCACGATTATAGAAGATATAATTTCAATATTACAAAGTTACTCAAATTTTATGTATATTTAATTTTGACATTATAATATTGAAACATGTTTAAACCTTTTATACCATTAATTTAGCATAAAATTGATACAACATATGATTATTTCTTACTTGGTTAAAGGTGCATTTCTCACTTTTTCCCTTAATAAATTAACAACAAATTTGGTGTTTGTGCTTTTTCAATTTGAATGAATTGTAGCGATAAGTTGTTTTCATGTTATAATATGGGTGCTTCTTTGATTTTTGGGTGCTATATATATATATATATATATATTTTATTAAGGGATAAGGGTCTGAAAAATATCCCAATTTTGGTCGAATTTGCTGTTGCGATACTAAACTTTCATGAGGACCTATTACCTCCTTAGATTATTTAATAGTGTATTTTTTACCCCTTGAACTATTTAATAGTGTATTTTAAAGGTATATATGTGTCCACGTGGACACATTACTATTTATAATTTTGCATTATTTTTTATGTCCACGTGGGCAAATATATATGTTTAAAATACGGTATTAAATAGTCTAGGGAGATAATAAGTTCTCATAAAAATTTAGTATCACAATAGCAAATTCAATTAAAATTGAAATATTTTTCACTCTTATCCCTTTTATTAATAAGAAAACTTCAAACTACTGCTAGTACTTCATCAATTTTTTCAATGTTTTTCAACTAGTTCCAAGTACTGTGTAAGAGATTGATAAATTTTAGTTGACCAATCGTAGTTCTACGCCCAATTGATTCATGCTTAAAATTGACAAACTAACGTCACACGTGCATAAATGTGTTTTTAAAAGATAGTTTCAATTAAGAATGTGATTATATATATTTTTTGAAATATATAAAAGAACTTTAATGATGCAATCATGCACCTTGACTAATTTATTTTAATAAATTAATTTTCTTTAATTTAAATCAAGAGGTGTAAATAGAGATTATTAGGTATGATACATTCGGAAGAAGACAGTTATACCTATAAGGCGTTGTATATCAAAGACTAAAAATGTAGTGACACATCTTGGCGGAGTCCAATGAAAGTTCAACAAACTTAAATACTAGCAAACCATAACCTATAACAATATATCTAAATAGTTTAAGAAAAATATATGTGGATAAAAGCGACCATGCCTCATACTTTCCCTTGATCAATAAAATTCCTCATCCAATTTTTTTGTTTTCGGAGATCAAAATTAAAAAAGATAGACTTGAAAAACCTCACTCTTTCACTCTCTCTAATGCTAAACACCCATTGAAATGGAATCACATCGGATGCTTAGAATTTGTGCTTTACCAACCTTTTCAATAATGTCTTCCGGGTTCCTTCTTCTTCTTCTTCTATTTTCTTTCTTTTAAAAAATTATAAAAAATTGACTTACCGCAAATGTGAATGTTTCGAGCAAATAATATATCTAAAGCATATATTGATTATACATAATGCGATAACTCGAATAATTTTTTCTTTTTTAAAAAAGAAAGAGAAGAAGAAAACGACGATACATTCTAGAGCACCCAATGTGATTCCATTTCGATGAGAACTGAAATTGATAAGGAAAAATAATTGGACGATTGATATGAATTTGATACCCAATGCTCGAAGTTCTCATGGATTCGTTATTGTTAGTGCGTTAAACTCCTTACCATTTTAGGTTTAACACCCGGTGGGAAATTAGGTAAATTTATCATTTTATTCTTATTTAGTGTTCCAAACAATAAATGAACATGAATTGATTGCTTTGTTTTTCACAAATGTATGCTTTCAAATTTCAATGCTAATAACTTTCAAAAGTAAAATAGGAAAAATAAGTGTCATTTATGCATTAATTTTGTAAAATGTCAACTATTAAAGCACATAGTATATTTTAAGTAAAGATGACATATGAATAGGAACGGAGGAAGTAACTTATTCTTTTTAAGTGGGCTAATTTTTAGGTAAATTTAACCTGATGGACATTTTGTCTATGGGAAGTGCTAAATGAACAAAAAATGTGGCCAAAATTTGACAAGAAAATTAAAAAAATTATAATATTTTTTTAATTTTAAAATAAGCTAATCTTTTTTCCATTTTGTTAGTTAAAAGGTATTAAAATTAAAAGGGTAAAAATGTTTTAAAAGGTAAAATAACATAGATAAAATATCATTCTGGTCAAAAAGATCTTTCCTTTCTCTAATTTAGACTATAGTTTATTTATTGAATCCGTGGAAACCAAGACGGTGTTTTCCAAGGTGGTATATAGCCAATGAAGTTTCCTGTCCCAAAAACCGTTATACGCTAAACTAGCATAACAAACTATAAAACCTAGTAAAAGGAAAAAAAAAAACAAATTTGTTGAACCATTAAGTCTACTAATCTACCTAATCAAAAAGATGACTTTTAAGGAAAAACATGCTTAAGTTGTCACCACAAAAATAAGCAAGAAAAGAATGCGTCATCGTCACTTCCAAAAAAACCTCCAAGAAAGCAACTAAAAGCTGCTTGTGATGAAAACAACAAACGTTCAAACTTACTTTTTTAAAAAGTTTCAAATTTCAGGTAAAGTGATTTCATTTTTTATGACAGAAGACCAAGTAAAAGGGTATAATTCGGTTAAAAATCGATACCTGAAACAACGTCGATTTCTAAAATTTGAGTTCCATAACTGTAAAGGAAACTGCAAGCAACTTTTAAAATACTTTAGGTAGTTATCTAGCACCAAATGGTAATTGAAATTCTAAATCTAGAATACCGCGGAAAAGTTGCTTCTGTTTTTCTTTCTTGTAAGGCATCATTAACCAAAGTGCACTCTATTTTATATTCCCTTCAGGTATATATTTATATCCTCAAGCAATAAATATTCCAACGCAAATTTGAGAAGATAATCAAATTAGTACTTACCAACTAAAGACTTCAAGGCTATGGAGATTAAGGTAGAAAATGAGATACCCCGGAATCTTGATGAAGAGAAAGCTCCCCTGCTTGAAAACTCAGAACTGCCTGAAGTGGAAAAAAACCTGATACAACAAGCAATAAGCCAGACATTTAAAAGCACTGCCCATCTTGCCAATCTTCTGCCTACTGGATCTGTTCTTGCTTTTCAATTTTTATCACCCATATTCACAAACCAAGGACAGTGTGATGTGGTTGGTCGATCCTTGACTGCTTCCCTTGTAGCACTTTGTGGACTGTCATGTTTCCTATTGAGCTTCACAGATAGTTTCAAGGATCAGAAAGGAAATGTTTGCTATGGGTTTGCCACAACACGCGGCTTGTGGATAATAGATGGATCAGCAACTCTCCCATTGGAAGTCGCTGCAAAGTACAAGCTGAAATTTATAGATTTCATGCATGCCATCATGTCAATATTGGTTTTTGCAGCTGTTGCGTTGTTTGATCAGAATGTGGTAAGTTGTTTCTACCCGACACCTTCATATGAAACACAGGAACTGCTTACAGCTCTGCCAGTTGCAATTGGGGTCATCTGCAGTATGTTGTTTGTGGTGTTTCCTACGCAACGTCATGGTATTGGCTTCCCCCTCACTTGCTAACTAATATGCTTGTTCCCAGAGATTTGTCGCATGTGTATCCTCATCTTCTTTTACATTCAGAGTGGGATACATTTTTATTGGTCTTTTCATTCATGTAACCATTTCCATTGCCTTTTGACTTAACTTTGCCAGATGAAGCTGTAAATGATTAACAAGCAAATGTACAAATAAGAATGCTAGTGTTTGCTAATCACCTTCATGGAATTTGAAGATAATCTGTAGTCCAGAAAGTCAAATCAACACGTGCTTTTTGAATATACAAAAAGAGTAGTAATTCAAAATTCTGAAGGAAACATACTAGAATTAAAGATTGTGTTTAATCATATAAATGTTACTCCCTCCGTCCACTTTTAATTGTCATAGTTTCCTACTTTCCTTTTTTAGAGTCAAACGATAAGAACTTTGACTAAAATTTCACGATGTATTTTTTCATCATATTGATATGCAAAAAAATTACAATTTATAATATTTTTCATATAGTTTTTGAATATCTAATTTTTTTGTTTAAAATATCGAACTAATGTGATCTAACTTAACTTTGAAAATTAGTCAAATTGACTTTCGAAAAGCGCAACATGACAATTAAAAGTGGACAAAGGGAGTAGTATATAATAACCACATCATTGAAAACACTAATCCCAATAAACTCCATATTTTAGGGCATTAAGGAGTAGAGTGTCTGAACACTTACCACTGTGCACTGCGAAGATTGAACCCTTGAGTTCCAGGTTGCCATGGAATAATCTTAGCTTTGCACCAAATATCCATGTAAAAAGAGTAAATACAACGGACACCCACTATGTTATGATTTACCAAAAATCTTCTTAGAAGGTGAAGCAATGCATAAAACCGGATTATTTTGGTCTGACTTTCATATGGATTAACAACGGCATTGCGGTCATAATCAGTAACTTGAACAAGACATCAGGTCTCAAAATTCATACGTTTACACATTAGGTCAGCCTGTACCGAATCAGCTGCTTCCCTTACTTTCCTTCTATCCCAAAATCCACCCACCACAACAGCCCATGTTTGTTCATCTGGAATGCATCCATCAGTCAACATTTCCTCAACAATACGAGCAGCCTTGTGCACATCTCCTTTCTTGCAGAAATGGTTGACCAAAGTCTCAAAAGATTTAGCTTCAACTGAGATGGCTCTGGTGCGCATGCTTAGATATAATTGAAAAGCTCGCTTTGGATCATTCACAGCACACAGGCCTCGGACTACTGCATTATGGATCTTCACATGCAAGCTCCAAGTTAACCGGTTTGGAGATATTCCACTAAGAATCATTTCATCAAGATAGTTGGCTGCTTCATGAAACTTGTTATTCTCACAAAAGCCATTGATGATTTTCCAGTATAACCCTGCATCAGGTTTACATCCCTGAAGTTTCATTCTGTCGAAAATCTCTAAGGCTTCTCCAATTTTACCTTCTCCACAAAGTCCATGAATTAAGGTACTGTAAGTTATCATATTGGGAACCTTATGTTCATGAATCATTATCTGTAATAGCTCCATTGCTTCAGGGGAACGTCCACCCTTACAAAGACCGTCCATCAAAGAACTATAAGTGAACACATTGGGATCAATACCTTGGCTTCTCATGTCCTCAAGTAATGTCATGGCTTCATCCAAGTTATTTGACTGGCAAAAGCCACGAATCAAACAAGTATAGGTCACTACAGTAGGTGAGCAACCATTTGCTTCCATCTCCATCAGAAGTTCTTTTGCTTCAGTGGCCTTGCCCAATTTGCAAAGCCCATTAATGAGAGTCCCATACGTATAGGAATCCGGTGTAAATCCGCGCTTGGGCATCTCATGAAAAATACGAAAAGCAGAATCCATTGTTCCACTGTTCTTGCAGAGAGCTTTAATCAAAATATTAAGCGAAGCAACACAAGGTGGAATGCCCACCCCCCTCATGTGACGATAAAACCTAAAAGCAGTTTTTAACCGGTTTTCCTCAACAAGTACAGAGAACACTGTAATATACGATTTCTGGGTTGGCTCACAATCATACTCCTTCATCTTTTGGAAAATCCTGATCACCTCAAGTGGCTTGTGAACCCTCCCATAGGCTCGATAGACTGAGAGGAATATATCCTCAGTAATCATACAGCTCTCACCCTTCATTCTGACAAGCATTTCCTCTGCTAAATTAAAATGATTTGCAGAAAGCAATCTCGAGATGATAAGACCAAATGTGCTACGATCGTGCCGAAAGCCATTAGAGTACTCTGCTGTTGCTGCATCAAATATAAGAACCGCTTTTTGTACATCTTTTTCTGCTCGAATCAACTGTTCAACAAAAGCCGCTGTGACTTCTCTTGGCCATTTGATTGGTATCTTGCTACCCATCAGTTCAACACTTATCTTCAAATGCTGCAATCCCCTTTCCAGAAATATGTGCCTCAAATTTTAGCTAATATCATTAGCTTTTCACTGATTAAAGTTGTGACAATAACAATGCTTCTTGCCGATCCTATGTATTTGAAGCATCCAATACTGAAGCTGAGAAACTGTAATTCCAAAAGTAAATTCATTAGGGTCTAATATCTTCAACCATGTTACCAGCTAAAGATATGCCAAAAAACAAGATTTTCTAGCAGGCATTGCATCAAACAAGTTGGTGTCTCATACAAAACTAAATTTTAAGCTCAAAATACCCTGGTACAGGAAAATCGAACAAACGATTTTCTTATATTTGGAGCAAAGAAGAGAAATTTGATCAAAGCTTTAACCTTTACATGGATCAACAAAACATAATGAGGTGAATCAAGATTTAAAGGCAGTGAGTGCACGAGTGCATTTAATGTTGATCTGCCACTAACCACAAAGAGCGAGAGATGCCATGGTGAAAACAAAAAAGGAGAGCATGAGCGTATTAGAGCTAATGCTCAAGAAAAGAACTAACGAATTTAGAATTTTCAATGTTATAGGTGTCGAGATAAAGTAAAAATAGCAAACTTACTTCATTATACATCAAAAACTGTATTAGTGTGAAACAAAATATAAGAAAAACAAAGAAAGTAAATTTTAAAAAAATGTTACTCCTTATTAATACATTCAGTTGAATATAGCGACTAGTGAGCATGAAGAAATTATAAGAATTTGTCCACAATACCTCTCTGACATCCAAGAAAGAAAGAAATGACAACTTTTACAAACTAGAGTTTTAAACATTTTTTCCACTTTTTGTTGCCATTCTTGCTTACCCAACTTGAGCCCATTCGAGATAGAAATAAGAATATTTGAAAAGAGAAGATACAATTCCTAATCTACTACAAGAAATTGAGTAGAGAGCAACAAACACCTCTGTCAAGCATTTCGACAAACACCTTACCTGCATTGTTTTTGCACCTTCTTTCAGTTGTTACTTCCGCTAAGTTCCACATTCTCGTACAAATAAATATCTAACCAGCTTCCCAATTTACAGTGATCTCATGAAATACAATATATGCAGGCAGTTGAGTTAAGAATTACCTCTTCTATCAGTTTTGCTCATTTACTAGTTTGTCTTGTCTTGGATTGAAACAGCTTCACTCCATTTCGGTCTTCTCGTATCGCCTTCGCTGCATATAAATTCCGTTTCCGGCGACAGTGAGCCGAGCGGCTTCAGCTTCCCAGGGTAAAGTATTCAAAAAGCTAGAGCCGCCTCATGTATCATGTATATGTTGGTGAGTCACTTCCATAATAAACGACTGGTATAAAAATATAAACTTTTAATTGAAGGGTATCATTAATTTATAAAATTCGACCTGAATTCAATCAACTATTATTTCGTTACACGGTGTTAAAAATATAAAAAGATATGTTAGTAGTGAGATTCAAAGAGGTTTAAGCACCTACTCAAGAGCTAATGACCAGTCAAATCATTTGTTTAATGGGTGCACGGTTAATTTTATATAATTACCTCTTAATTTCTACATAGATATATATATTTCGAGACGAGATTAATGGATGCTCAAGAACCCGACAGATTCTTTATGGGTCCGCCCTTGTTTCTAGCTGTTAGTAATGCAATGATTTTAACGCATGCATTAGCATGGTTAAAAACTCAATTGCTCCTTACAAATTTTTTACACGGTTTCTACTATATTTGTGAAGGGTATCTTTGTAAATAAATTTTTTTATGCAATACATGTTATTTTTAATACACCAAACCAAACAATATATAAAAATAATATATTTATCATTAATGCAAATATTACTAATACACTTTATTTAGCATCATTTTTATACACTCTTCCAAATGATCCCCTAGTGTACAAATTATTAGTTAATTTATCGAGTACCAGGGAATTGATTTCACTCTACCAATTTTGTCACCTTTTTATTTAGGGGTTGTTCGCCTTCTGAACAGAAGAAAGTCAGAGAGCACCAAGTCATTAAAATTAGTGGTTGCTCGCTCTTTGATTAGTGATTTACTACCCACTAGATTGATGAAGGTGTCATCCTAGCGAAGGTTCAACTCCTTATATGTCATCAAGTACCTCAAGCTCGAAGACCCACTAAAGTACGAAATTCAGGATCTTTCAGAAAATGGTCATCAATACGCTTCGACTCGATCAAATCACGAGATAACTTATTTGAGCTTTCCCTCACTCTCTGCGTGCTACTTCAATGGTTCGATATGAAAGACGATCAACTTTTGATAGAATAAAACAATGAACAACATGCACAACTAATAATATTTATATCAAGATTAACATTATAAGTAGATTTAATAACTAGAGAATTTATTTTACGAAAATAGTATAGATGAAATACTTATTTCTACTTAGTTTGTTCAATACATACACGATGCACTAACATAAAAAGTTGAAACTATATCGCTCCATAAAGATAAATCATATTTAATTTTATGCTACAATAGTGTTGATGACTTTGTACAATTTTCATCTTAGATTATGAAAATAAATTTTATACTTATAAAAATTGATGTAATTCCTATAAGGGAATCACACTAAAACGGGGAAATCAAAGACGGAAAGTAAAGATAGACACAAATAGAGGAAACAAAAAGCAACCAAAGGGTATATTAAACCCAATGACCTCAATCTGTTATTCCAATAATAAGCACCTAACTCTTACGAATACCTCAAGGGAATC